AAATCTTAAAAATACTGAGAGTGCAATTCTTTATGGGCCACCCGTTATTTCATTTTATATTTATGATTTCAAATTCTTCGTTATATTAATTTCTTTAAGTTTCATTAGAGAGACAATGAAAGACATATGTAGTCGTTAGCAAAACTGAATCAACATAGAATTATCAAGAAAATGAATATTAATTCGTATCAATACATAGTGCATGAATAGTTCTTGTTCAAAGTCAGAAAAAAATGTTCTTCTTCAGATTATACAAACATCGTCTGTCACAATGATGAGTGAGAATGAAGATGTGGATATCTGTAATCTGTAGAAGTACCCATAGTATATCATTGCATCATATCCAGCTATAGGTGGAACCTATTGGTTTCTATTCATTCATTCATTAAATTTAAAGACAAATTCAATGCTATCCAGAGATGTACTCGTATATTTGGTGCAATAGTTTTAAGATCGAAACAAGAAAATCTTCTAACCATGTTGATGAAAACAAAAAGATTATGATCTACTATACCTTTATATGTTGATACGATCAATAAAAAAGGAAAAAAAAGTATTCAAATGACGCGCTTATTATTATTTATTTTTTGTATCGAATGAAAGAAAAAGTTCATTGATGTTGTTTTAATAAATTTCTTTAAATTTATCGATGTGCTTCCGCACATGTGAAGCGTTCGATGTCCACTGGTTTTAATCTTATTCTATTTGTCATATGTATTTTTTTGCTAATACGAACTAATCAAGGGTTTCATCATCATCATCGTTCTCAAATTTTTCGAAAATATCGTCATATTTCTTTACATAATGATAGTCATCTCAATTCATCCTTGGAATCATCAACAAAAATCGAATCAAATCTATTCTTTCAAAATGAATCTGTACCATTGGCTTCATCAGTTGTTGATGATCTTACAACTCTTGCATCAGCTGTTTATATAATTTCTCTTATCATTATTATATTTGTTCTTCTTGCTTGGACAACTCATTATAATGCTCCATGTTCATCAATTATTGCATCTATTTTAAGTACTATTACTGGTTTGCCTGAATCAATTATTCATTCAGTTGCTCTTTGTGGTTCATGTTGTATGTGGTGTGAATGAACATGGCTATTTCGTCGTATTCATCAATTTAATATGTGGATATCATTGAAGATTCAACAATTCATATCAGGTACATGTAAAGTTTTGTATGACACAATTTGTCCTTGTTGTCGACCACCTGATACGCCATCGAATCGATCTCTAATTGGTAAATTTGAGAATTATATTATATTGAAATTATTTGAGTTTTATTCTATAAGGATCATTACCGGCTGGCGTCATTGCAATGATCCAAATACCTGATACTCCTAATCCATCACTACCTAAAACTCTTGTGACAGGTGAAAATTAGTTTGATTTTTTTTTATGTGTTCGAATTATTTTCTTCATTTATAGTTGTAGAATCTACTTCTGTATCATCAAGACCTTTGACTGTTAATGTTGATTTATAATTCTCAACCAACAACTGAATCTTTAATCGAAAATCAAGATTATTTACTTTCTAAAGTTATAACAATCGAGACAAAAACAAATACTAATCAAACATATGAAAATACATCAACATATAAAAAGCGTCGTAAACAACCGCGAAAACAAATTCAGTTAAAGCAACAAACAGCAATTGGTGTATCACCACATATTGATGAACAGACTGATAATATTAGTCAAGATGAAGATGCTGATGAAGAAGAAGAAAATACTAAAATTTATTGACAACGTTCTTGCCAAATAGTAGCACCCGGAGCAAGTACAAAGACGTTTTGTATTTTCAAAAAGACCAGCTGCTCGAGCTATAATACCACAGGCAACACGTCTAAATTTAGAAATGAAATTTATTTTTCTTTTCAGATAACAATATATAAATATGAGAGAAATTTACTGAGAATCAGAATTTTGTACAACAAATGATCGTCCAATAATATCTGGTACTCGAATACGGCGATTGAGTAGACGAAAATCAGCAGTACCATGTTCATCAGCCATTACTTGACCAAGAACACCAGTTAATTCATCGGAACTTTTTTGCGAGAATGAGCTATTTGAATCATAATAATCACCACAACTAAACAAAAATAATTATAATAATAATAGTAATACTAAATATATTCATTCTTGTATTTGATACATATGATCGATACCTATTACATCCATCAGAAACATCACCATATTCGTGTATATTGATGCGAGCTGGAGTATTAGGTAAAAGTCCATCAACAGTTCCTTCAATAATACATTGTTCATCATCGACTTGAATAAATCGAACTAAACCATGAGGACGACATTCAAATGGTTGATTCATATTACTATAAAGTGCTGAAACAGCAGAACCTAAAGGTTTTCCTGTATATCAAACAAAAGTAGGAAAAGAAATATTCTATCCAAAAACAAAAATGAATTGAAAATTATTTTTTACCAGCGCCTAACAGTACAGCATTAGTATCAAGTGATTTTTCAATTAATTTTTGAATTTTTGATAATTGTAATGTTGTATTAAGAACTAATCTTTTTGATGATAGATCAATATTGAAATTTTCAATGTCTACAAAATATTTATTCAGCAATTTCATCAAACATAATAAATAATTTTTCATGTACCTTTTCGATTAGCTAATAATTTTTGTAATTGATCAACTTGTTCTTGTCGATTTATATCAACAACAAATTCGAGCTAAATAATAAAAAGAAAAACAAATACATCATTACCATTCAAAATGATTCAATTCAAATTCTTCACCTTCGTGCTAATCGATGATGCTGTCTCAGTCATTTCTATTCTACAATAACACAAGGTATATGTATATATAATTTCTATTATAACTGATAAATTCTATATTGAATGCCGACAAATAGAACAACAATATTATATTAGTGGCATAACCAAACGAGAACTAGAGGGAGCTTTAGCTCGCTCTCTCTCTAAAATCATTACGAGAGGGTCTCTACTCTACCTCTACAGCCATGCTCAGGGCCTGAGCTCCCGATAACTTTTTCTTGGTTACGGTACTACATTATATAACAAATTTATGATATATTAGAAGAAATAAATACCATGAGCTATTACAGAGACCAAACATGACAATAGTTATAACAATATATACAACAAGAAGAAAAAAAGGATGCGAATTAATTTTGTTCATTTATTTATCTACGGGTGTTGTTGATGTTGAACGTTGTCTACGTGCTGTACGTTGTTTTTCAAAACGATTTTCCATTTCAATTAAAACTTGTGGTGAATATCGTACAACTAATTTTACAGTATTTTGTGCTTGTTTTAGTAATTCAACTGCTTCTTCATGATATTCATTTTCAACAGATACACCATTAACTGATAATAATTGATCACCTTTCTTTTAATCCACCATGTTTCCAAGCAACACCATTTGAAATGATACGTGATATAAAAATCGTTGAATTTTGTTCACGTCCACCCATTACATTAAATCCAAGACCTTCTTGAGTTTTAGGTAATTCAATAATACGTGGATGTGAATGACCTTCACTAGCTGCAAAAGCAGCAACCTAAATTAGAAAAATTTATTATTTATTCAATTGAAGAACAAAAGGAAAAAAACAAAGAGCATCTTTTCAGACGCTAACAGTTGCTTTAGCAGTAGCATTAGCTCAAACTGCTGGTGAACCAGTTACTTGAACAGTTTCATAAATTTTTTCATAAACTTCCAAAACAGCATGAAAAAAATCACTTTGTAATATACATTGTAATTCAAGTAATTTTGTTTCGGGTATTTCACTTGTTGTACGAAGACGATCAAGAAAAACAATTGCACGTTCAATATCTTTTTCTAGATTAAGTGATGATTCACTTGCTACAGTAGACATTATCTAAAACAGAAATAAAACAAAACAAACACCAAAAGAATAAATCAAAAGATAATTAACCAAATAAAATAAGAAATACTTATCGTTACAATATTAAAAGCAATCAACGGAACTACAAATAAAAACAAGAAAAAAAATAGAATTGATAAGAAAAAGAAATAAATTTTACCTCTCATTACAGTTCGAACAGATCGAATTAGATTCAATAATTGATGTTTAGTTCCACCGATGTTTTGATAATCATCAACATAACCTCCAACACCAGAATAAACTTGACGATTCCCACCACCACCACTTACTACGAAAATAATAGATAAAAATTAATCTTAAAAAAAGAATGTATTTATATCTTGAAAGAAATCGTCGTTCATTAAGAATAGCTATAGCATTAACACAAAGAAGAGCACCTACAATAAGACTATATAATGTAAATCCCATATTTAGTCGTTGAGTTGAACTTTTTTTTTCTAATCTAAAAAGCGAGATGTAAATGATTTTGATTGAATGAAATTTAAAAAAAGAATTCTTTTATTAGAATGTGAACGTATTAATATAAATACAATCATAAATTTGTGCTTTCTTTTTCTCTGTAACTTATATCCAATCTGATAATATCAATAAAAAAAACCATTGAAGCATAATAGAAAAAAAAAAGAAATGAAAATCAAACATTCTTTAACGTTTTGCATTCATTTGTCCATTAACAATTTTATTTTGTATTGTTGAATTTGGATGTAAAGCTTTCTTAATCATTTGTTCATATTTACTTAAATCAAAATCTCCACTTTCACTTGCTGAAAAACTTCGATGTTTTATTTGTAATAAATTTATGTAATACATAATTCTTCAGCAGATATTTACACCAGCCATTGTTATGTTCATTGTATTCATTACCTAAAAACATTATCTTTTTCAGTATTTTGTAACAAAAGACAATATTTATTGTTTTTACTATCGAGTAACTCTATACTTTTCCAAGACTGAGGTCTCGACCGAAATAATACTTTTTTTTTTATTCCATGTAGAAAAAGTCAAAGATACAAAACGTTAACTTAGACACACATTTTTTTCCTACCTTTTCTTGTTGTAATTTGATAAATCGGCACTTGTGTTTTAATACAATGAGACCAAAGATGACCAGTTACAAGAGGTACTAAAATTATGTTTCTTCTGATATCAGTCAATTGAATATCAATATTAGATGCAATGTCGAAAGAAATCTTTATATTATTGATTAGTTGTTGAAATGGAACATTTACATTGACTTCCATTTGTACTTCTTTATTTTTATATATAAATTTAATTTGTTTGAAATTGTTTGAGTTCATGTCAAAATCTAAAACCAGAGAACAGTATTAAAATAAAAGCTGAAAATGTTAAAAAAAAAAAAGACAAAGAATATTAAATAAATATACTAGCAGGTTTAGTTATATTTCGACGTGATTGAGATTCATTGTTCGTCGTTGTTGTTATTGAAGAAGTAGCATTACTTGCTGCTGCTGTTGTTGTTGTTGATGTTTTACCATTGGTCGGTTTAGTTTCTTTTGAAGTAGCAGCTAAAGATAAAATTTATTTGAATAAAATGAATATTTTATTTATTTAAATACCTAATATTTCTAATTTTTTAACAAGTTTAGCACCTATTGCTGTTTGTCCTGATGTACGAGTTGTAGTTGTTGATGATTTTGATTGGGATTCATCAGTATTTGTATCTTCACATGAAGTTGAAAAATTAATTGAATCAATTATTTGTGAAAGTTGTTCATTGGATGATATTTGATTTGTATCAAATGAAAGATTTTCATTATTCATAATATCATTTGTTGCTTCAAATTCAATATTTGTTGTTGAGGTAGTCATTCGAAATTATTTTTCAATGAATAATTGAAAAGAGAAAAAAGAAAAGAGAAATCTGAAACGAAAACAAAAAAAGAAAAGATATATCTATACATTAATGGTTGATAGTTGTACAATAGATTTATTCCGTTCTTTACTTCTTATTATGTTCGATGATTTAGGCATATGGAAGATTCCTAATATAGAACGGAAGAAAAGTGATGGTTACATTTTTTGTCTCTCTCTTTTTCTGTTCTTGCTTCCAACCAGAAATTGTTCAATGTCCAGTGATATATGAAATATCATTTGTTGTAATACAATGTTTATTTTGACAAAATAAAAGATGTCGCTCACGTGAGGACACATGGAATACATTTTCATTGAATTGAATTTTATTTTTACGCGAGGATATATAATGAAAATAATACTATATGAAAAGCAACAATTACTCCGTAATTAAACGACCTCTATTAGTAAGTCATCAGAAAGTAAAGTTCGTTCTTTTTTTTTTACTAAGAACTCTGTGTGAAATAAGTTTTAAGACAAAATGACACTATCAATATATTAACGGGTGGCCCATAAAGAATTGCACTCTCAGTATTTTTAAGATTT